GGAGCGTAGTCAGGCATCAATTAGAGGCTTCCTGGTATGCCATTTGGCTAGAAGGAACTTCATTAAACGCATTTATTTCCACACACACCCACACACACACACACACGTAGCAAATATCTGTCTGTCATTCAAGTTGGCTTATTCAGCAGCTGCCGACAGCATAAATACGATTTAATAGACCTATCCATAAGTACCCCAGCACCACACACTCACTCTTTGTTTGGCAGGCGCTTAGTCGGAGGGGGTCCAGAGACTCAACTAAGATACACGAAGTGATTCTGCCCGTCCTTTCAACACTGCCCGTCAGTCTAAGCTTTTGTGTGTGGTGTGAGTTGGTAAATGGTAAATGGTAAATGTCACTTCTGAAACCCCCTTTTGCCATGGCCAAAGGAACACATGTTTCATAACACTCAAAATCCCCCGATTCGATTCGAGGACGACTACGACGACGACGATCGCGCGAACAAGTAAATGCCAAGCAATAATTTTTTTATTGCCAGCCAATGCCAATGCCAAAAACATTTCGTATCGAGTGTGCGTACTACGTACATATTGAAATAATGGCATTCCCATTTATGTGCGAGGTTCTGCGCGTTTGAACGTACATATGTCTCTCTGATAAGCAGCCAAAGTCCTTGTTATTGTAGCCGTTAAATCCACATACACACAAAAGACTTGAACTCGAATCCACATATGAATATCTGTGGGCGTGGCATGTGGGCTGCATTCACGATATTTATGCCCTTTGCTTTAGTGTCGGTTTAATCGGCCTCTTTGATTTTATAACACCATTATGCACTTTTAGTGTGATTGATTGCAGGGGAAGGATCTCACTGCTCGCACCCCCTTCTCCCGTGTCAGAATAGAACACATAACGACTCTGTATTCTGTGTATTCTGGCCTCCAATTCAGACAAGAACAACAAATATACAAAGAGAACGACAGATTTCTAAGAAATCTCAGGAGCCAAAAAGAGACTCAAAATACACACGGACACACTCGCAAGATACCTGCCATTCGGATACCACTTTCTGCTCAGAAACCGAATATATTGAATGACTAGCAAATTGTCTGCTTTCTCCAGGCTGTTGGTAAACAAACCTAACTTTATTTAGCTCTTAGTGATCTTAGATCGTAGATCGACTCTAAGCAAGAATACACATGGATTTGAAGGAATTCATATAATACGCTTACAAGAATTAACCTAACCAGGGAATTGATTGTAAAGGTTCCCACCACGTTTTGTTTTTAATTTGTATTAATTATAAGCTGATACCTAGCTTAAAATCTGACAGACTAGTTTTCATAGAAACAGACAGAGATACCATCTATGGCTATGGTATACATAAGTATACCTACATATATGTACATACATTAGAGATAATTAGTTCTGTGCGTTACACAATTCTGCCCACTGTAATGGTATAAAACGTTTTGTTTATGAATAGGAAATATTATCAACAGCTAAAAATGGTATTTTGTTTGTTATGTTTCGGCTTAAACTTGTTCTGTATAATAAACAACATTTTCGTCGGAAAAGTAGCACTCATTCGGAAGAAGCTACGAGTAGTGTTGTGATTCAGGCGTACTCCGCCCGTAATCCCACATCTGTTGGAATGAGGCGGACGAGGCCAGTGACGAATCACCGCTCCAGATGGAGCAATGGCGCCAGGACGTTTATTGGTTTTTCTTTTATTAATTTGATGTTTTTCTAGTGAATGCTACCGCCAGACGGTCTTACCCTACAGATATCTCGATTAGATTTTCAGGACCGAGAGTTGAAACGATTTTCAAAAGGGATTATCGGTGGTATTTTTCTTGGTGCATCGGTTTTCACCTGCTCAGAGTCCGTCATTTAGAACTTTTCCTTGACAACGCACTTTTGCACGCTCATCCGTAGTGGCATAAGAAAAGTTGCGCACAATCTGTCGTGGCATTTCTTATTGAGAACCAAACCAACGGCACGGAACGGAGCATAGCCACGGCAACGCCGTCACCTGAGTCCAAAGGCTTAACAATTGTGCAGCCGTCGGGCGACTGTCAACTTGCTGAATGTGTTAGGCACAATCCGAACCATTTTCTCCGGACTTACCCCGTCTGCACTGGTCTTGGTACAAGGTTGGCGACGCCAGCTCCAGAAGTGCTCCATTTCATCATAGCTTATGCGGATTCTGGGAGAAGGACGGAAGAGCCGGCACACATGCCACAGCCCTTATTATCTGGGTTGTTAAGTTACATAGCGAAAAGGCAAGGTGATATGTATTTATGGCTGCCAATATTACATACATATGAAGACTTTTCGTGACGAAGTACTTGTCGATATGAGGCCATTGTCGCATTACACGCATCAGCTGATCATCATTATTTATGTCACGCCAATTAGAAAAACGTGACAGACAGATTCTCGATGTAACTCGTATAAATAAACAACAGACTTTAACTACCGAGTATCTATAGCAGAAATATTTGATAATTGTGTATATTCACGGGTAGATAGTTATCGGAGAAGGCTGTTTGCCCTGTGGCTGGGGATGTCCTTGCCAAACATTTTGTTACCGTTTAACCATTTGCAGTTTTCTGCGGCTGCCAATGGCATTTTAAGTGCAGCCGTGCGGCGCCTGTGGCCACGCTGGAACAAAACTTACTGCAAATTACTGCGGTGAGTGTTTCGGATTGTTACGAATTTGATCAGAACAAAAGAGGCAAAGTTTAGGCCCCACTACGACTTATCAGTGGCAGTCGGGCTGACATTGTACTGGTCCGAAATCAAAAGGAAGTTTGTGCAGCCATTTGCCATTAGCAGAAAACAAGAAAAACACTATTTAGTTTTAAAACAAAACTTTCTCGCTTATTTACAGTCTCTGTCTGACTGGCTCTGCAACTGTACGAGTAGTTGCTCGAGTTTCTGCTGCTGCTGCTGCGGAGCACTGAACCTCCCTCATGCATAATGCAGATGGGTTGAACATGCACCATCTCGAAAAGCTTGTCGGTCCGTTTACTGAGACAGATATGCATGGCATTCTTCTTCATTCATTCATCCATTCACCCACTCTCTCATTCATCTGTAGCTCTCTTCTCCAGCTTCACCACAGCCCTGGCCACAGTGCCTGCCATTTATTTACTGTCCAGCCTCTCAGGACTGGAAGGCTAATTAGGCACAGCCGTGTGGGACTGTGCTCCGCTAACGACCCGCCTGAATAATTCATTAGCTAGCCTGCTAGGGGACAGCAGGCCTCTCCCCTCCTCAATCGCACTACTCACATCCACACCCACATCCACTCATACGAGTTTTGGTCTCGTTTCGGTTCGCTCTAAGTCCATGGCTTCAAAAACAACCGCAAACATAACCAAAATGTAAACAGGAACATTCTCTGTGGTTGTGGCCCAGATTCAACATATCACAGGAATATATCTCCAGACGAATGCAGACATGTATAGTGTACAATGTACACACATTTGTAATTTTGTAATTCTATGGATTTACTAACCAAATAGTGATATTTCTGACTCCAGTGATTGTTATACTATGGTCTTATAGTACATATATGCCTTCAATGTACATACTTTTGCCTTCCATTTTCGATTAGCCCCAAGAGACTATACTTTTTGGACGCCATCAGCTCTTTGCTTTTAATCAAATTAAATGTATTTATAAACTTTACGATCTCTACCATATATTCAGACATATACTAGACATTAAAGACAATCTCCCCCATAAAGAATATAAATAAATATGGGGCTCAAATAATGTAAATTCTGCTTGGTATTTATCGGACAACATTCAGATGGTAATTCTTGTTCATATAATATATTAAGTATATTTATGTTGGTGCACCTGTCTGGCCTCGGGCATTGGGGGGATACGACCTTAAAGGGCTCCTTTATTGTCGGCACGTTTTTCATATTTCTGTAATCCATTACCAAGTCTTCCCCATCTGTTAAATGGACGCAGCCCGGCCTGGGTCTGAGTCCTGTGTCCGAGTCTCCTTCAGAGCCCGCCACCTGACTTCAAAAGTTCTATCGCTGACCATTTGGGGAATAAACTTTTAGCATAAGTATTATTTTTCTTATGTCTAAGCCGATTATAACGAAGATGTTATGCTCTTGGAAATGAATGTTGCGTTTGTACAAAACGCAGCGTAAATATTTTTCCTTCAATACAAAATAAGACATTTACAAAGGATTTGCTGATGAAATTTCATATATTTTCTTTCCCACACTTTCATCTCTACTCTAGAGTAGACATTAAAGGTCAGAAATACTCTGAGGCAAACTTCTGTAGATTGCAAGGGAATTTTTACTACCAACAGGACAAAGGTAGCAGCAACCCAGTCCACCAGGCTCATGGCTGGGTGAGATTTGTGCTCGAGCAGGGCACATGTTTTGGCTGACTCATGGCAGTTGATTTACTGCTCTTGGGGGGCTAGGCAAATGTAGGGAAACTTGCCACGTACTGCCCCACTTCAACTCCCCCTTGCTCGGCAACTGAAACTCTTCTGCCAGATGCTGGATGGAAGCTGCAAGTTTGTTTGCATTTGCTGCATCTGTCATAAAAGACATGCAGGTTCGCTTTATTTCCACTAATGCGTTGTTCTTTGTCAGTGGGGAAAAAAATGATTCCTTCATCAGAATCCTATTTGATTCAGCAGTTCTTTTGGCCCTGCATTCGCAATCAAACGATGAGCGCCAATCCAATTGACTCTCGAATTTTTGCCTGAAAGAAAGAGAACTATGCGGGAAAAGTTCTTTTGTGATATTAGTAGGGTGCTTTTCGTTCCTTTGATATTACGGAGAGAGAGACCTATCCTCTCTAATTTATATCATGATAGACAATTCTTAAATAATTGTGTAGCGCATACATTTATATGTACATATGTGGAGGTTATTCTATTTAATATTCTGGCGATTTGGGTGTGTATTCTAAGTGTATGGAGGAATACCTTCGATATTTGTCTAGCATCCATCCCATCCATTATGCTCAGATTTCAGATCGTACTTACCCTATCTCAGTTAATTCTTGTACCGATTTCTCCTCCTCCACCTCCTTCGGCCAACTCGACCATCACATCCGACTCCCGGCAGCTGGTCGCGCTCGTCTCGAGGATACTGATGCCCGTGGTATTGTCGGAGCTAACGAATGGCGTCTCGCTGAAGCGCACTTCCACCGTCTGCTCGTCGCCAGAGTCAATGTAGTCTCCATCCTCGTCGGTGCGCCGACGGACGCGCCTCATCAGCTCCACCTGCTGCGGCTGCTGGAGATGCTGCTGGTGGTGCTCCCCGCCATGGACGAGGGCGGCGTTGATGCTGCGTCCACTGAGAATGGGCGACACTGCACCCGTGCCATTGCCATATGTGGGCTCGCGAGGTATAATCAGGAGCTTTTCCTTGGGCAGGCAGGTCTCCTGGGTGATGCCGTTGTCGTCCTGATCCTCCGCATCGCGACTGCCGCCGATCCCGCCCTCGCCGTTGCCATGATGGAGACGGGGGCCGCAGGTGTTGCGATCGCTGCGGTTATAGCCGCGGGTGATGTTGATGATGTTGTTGTTGGAGGGATTGAAGCAGGGCAGGACGTGCTTGAACTCCTTGCGGAAATTCTCGTTGAGCCAGGCGTAGAGGAAGGGATTGTAGCAGGTCGAGCTCATGGCAATGGAGTGGGCCACGAAGAAGAACAGTATGTAGAACCTCCACTCGTTGGACTTGACGTCAAAGTCGTCGAATATGTTGACCAGATTGATGGGCAGCCAGCTGAGACCGAACACAGCCACCATGGCGATAAGCATTCGGTTGGTTCGCTTCTTGCGATCCCGATCCGCCTCCTCCCTTCTCGAGGACTTGGAGCCCGGCTTGGCCCTGGCCCGCTGGTTCAGCTTCACCGAGATCCACACGTAGCAGATGGAGATGATGAAGAACGGCAGCACGAACTGCAGCGTGGTGGTGATGGCCCCGAACACCTTGCGATACTCCTCCGACGGCCAGTTCTCCTCGCAGACCATCCGGGTGTAGGACAGGTCCGTGCTCACCCCCGAGGTCATCACCTGCATGTAGGCTTGGGCGGCGGAGGTTGCGTCGGGCGCCTCAATGAACCCTGTCACATCGTAGCTCGCATTGAACATCATGGCCGCATCCACACTGGTGTCGTTCCCGCTCATCTGGGTGCCGTTAATCACCTCGTTAGTCATCTTCACGTACATGCCATAGGGCACCGTGGCCAGCAGTGCAATCACCCAGATGCTCACAATGATCCCGATGCAGGTGGAGAGCTTCATGCGCGGGTGGAATGGATAGATGATCACGAAGTACCGATCGATGGCTATGGAAGTGAGAGTCAGCGTGGATATGTAGATGCTGCAGCCCTGCGCGAAGGACACCAGGTGACAGAGCGTTCGCCCGAAGGCCCAGCGGCCCATGAACGTGTACAGCGGCGTAAAGGGCACGCCCAGGACGCACAGAAGGATATCGGACAGGGCCAGGTTCGTAATGAATATGTTGGTGACAGTTTGCATCGCCCGGTTCCTCAGCACCACATAACAGACCAGGACATTCCCGAACACTCCCAGGACAAAGACGGTGGCGTACAGCATGTAGAAGAAAATCTGCACGAACTGATTGTGGATGACGCCCCCCGACTTGTCTACCTCTATTTGGGCCGCCTCTGCGGCCGCCGCTGCTGCTGCCGCTGCTGCGGCTGATGCTGCTGCCGATGCTGCTGCCGATGCCGCTGCAGATGCCGCTGCCACTGCTGCTGCCCCTGCGGATGCCGCATCCGCCAGGCTGATGCTCGTCGCGGCCGTGGTCAGGCTCCAGTTGGTGGTCGTCGCTAGCGGCAGCTGCGTGGTGGTGGTCGTGGCCAGCCAGCTCAGGATGGCCATCTTGTGGACTCTGTTTGGTCTGGCTAATGGGTTGAGTGCTGGGTCAGAGTCAGAGGAGCTGTCCTATCTGTGCTCTCCTACTCGGTGGGTACTCGTCTTCCGGTTGGGAATGGGCTTCGCCGGATGTGCGCCACTTAAGCGGCCATTTCCGTCTCCGTCTATTTTGATCTCCCTACGTTGTTGTTCAGCAAATTTACTTCGCTACTTCGCTCATTGCTAATTGACTGAGTCTCCGGGTTCTGTAAATGGAAATGAATGATAGAGAGATGTTTTAGTTGAAGTATTTTCTCTACATGGGGGTGTATCATCCTTCTATCAAAGCTTTCAGCTAGATTCCCTCTCGCATATCTCATTATTATGACAGCCGAACCTTAGATACTCGTACCTTGAAAACTTCCTGGCATCAGTGCCAAAGTTTGCATTGATATTGTAGATCCCTTCATTAAAATTCATACAAAAGTTTCTAGTTAGGAATCGCTTGTCAGATGGACTTTAAAAGTAAGTTCTTTCCTCCACACCGCAGACCTCGTTTTCCCCCGATTTCCCAGTTCGTACTTTGCCTTCTGGCTTCTGCTTTTTGGCCAAAAGGGTTTAAGTTGTTGCCTTGACTGGCTTTTATTTTTAGTCCCTGTCAGACACGCTTCCAAGGAGCAGCTCCTCCTTCTCAGCGGGCTTCGGGGGTAGCGAGAGCGAGATTATTAAAAACAATGCGATTGTGGCAGTAACTGTCTCTGTCAAATGGGGGGAGGGCCAAGTGCAGTCAGGCGATAGGCGGAGGGCGGTCGGAGGAATCCATGCTGCGGAAATGGTCTGGGCAAAGACGGCTTTAAGCCAGAACTCAGTTGTTGGCCGATGTTGAAGCTGGAGCTGCAGCAGTTGTTCTTCGCACAATTCTCATCACGTCGTGTACTTGACGGGCGGAGCTTAGTATCCCGATTACCCCGAATGACCACTGGCAGCATAGAGTTTCCCAATTAGACTTTGCATCCAATCGAAACAATCGATAATAGGTTGCTGGTTGCTGGTGCCTGGCGAATGCCGGGGCGAACAACGAGCCGGACGACCAGAACACACCAAATCCCACCATTGTACCGGGCTTAGCCCTGAGCAGAGAACAGAACGGCTTTTAATTTCGTGTTTACAATGGGGAAGTAAATCGGAGCTTTATTGCTGATTCAAATGGCCGAAAGTTTGGCAATCCCCCAGACGAAAATTCCGATAGTTGATGGCTTCTGATCACGTTCGCTAAGCAAATTCAAATTTAATTGGATTGGCATAGAGGAGCAAAGTAGAGAAGCACGGCCGAATGCCGAAGTTCCCACAATCAGCAACAGCCCCAAGCACAGCCCCAAACACAGCCCCAGTCGTGGCACCAGACGGCCTAGAACATTGTTCGTTAAGCTGCAACTTTTACAGCTAAGAGCTGGCTAACGCTACGTCCCTGCACTGCCTTGCATGCCACAGATGTATGTTTTCTCGGAGGACGAACCTTTTACAGGGCTGAGAATGGAATTTCCGCTTTTAATGAATACATATGCTGAGCACCCTGCTTTCCAGATAACTATGCCAATCCACTCGATCCAAGGAGATTGAAGCAATTCAATTAGTGCCCATAAACAATGTGGCTTTGAGGGATGTTAACCGGATTGGAAAAGCTTTAAAGGAAGCCAACAAAAATATGCAAAATTAAACTTTTAAAGTTCAACTCTCACCGTTTAACTACGTGAATAAATAGTTAAAGTACAACTTTTGTATAGGTATCAGATGTAATTACATTATAAATTACTTTACCATTCCCCTCAATATTATGTACATATATCATTGAACTCTGAAAATTAATGCTGAATATTATGCGCTGTAAAAACAAGCCTCGAATTATAAAATTGGTCAGAGGTTGGAAGGCATCTACTGCAGTGTCATTTTAATCGGGAAATCAATCAAATAAATGCTCGTTTGATGTAAATTGTATCTAAATGATATGCATTTTAATCAATACACAATAAAGCACACAGCATGACTACAGATAAAGTGGCTCAACAAAAGGAGTAACAGGACTCAAGCTTTTCAATCCTTCAAGTCGATTGGGAAAATTATTGCGAAAACCTTTCTTCCCTCCGAATCACTGAATTGCAAAATATGCAATATGAGGCATTATTAATCAAAGAGAAAGCTGCAAAAAATTGATACAAATTACACAAGATATTATGCAAAGCAGATTGGCGGCACCCTGGGGCTATGGCGGAATACCGGAATCCGGTTCACAGGAAGAATGTCAAAACAAGGGCCCAGGGCAAGAATATAATCATTTTGATAAATTAATAGACGGAAGGCATAGCCGTGACTCTCCTGGCTTAGACCAGGACCATCAGCAGCAGAGCGACCATGTAATTCAAACTCTGAATTCTGGATAATACGTGTATAGCTATGTACGGCTATAGGTACGGTAGGTAGAGGCGAACAACGACAGAAAGAAAAATTGCCAGTTAACAATTTTCATGGCTGCTGGTAGACAGGGGTGTGAAAACAGCCAAGACGAGCCATAAACTTTATCAAAATCATTATCAGCAGCCCGCATTGGCATCCCCCAAGTGTCATCATCGTCATTCTCATCCTCGACATCGCCATCGCCATCGCTGATGGTCGGTCCTGCTCGCGCGCCTTACGCCTTACGCCTTACGCCTTACTCCCATTATCATTACCAACAAGCAGCACAAAGCAGCTTGAGTGTGTCATCCCGTCCTTTCCTGTCCTGTCCTGTCCTGTCCTGTCTTGTCCCGTACTGTTCTGTCCTGTTTTTGTCCCGCCTGTCGGCTGCTGGTGTCATCCTGCTGTTCCGTTGGAGCTACTGCTCCAACCGTATTGCCACACTTCGTAATTTTAATTTTGATGCATTTGTCACCATTTTTTGCTCGCTTTTATACTTACAATAACTTGTTCCTCGTGCCGCCTCTTCTTCTGCAACGATTTATCTTTGAGCCCGTGACATAATGAAACAAGGCGTTATGGCCGTGGCGAGAACAAACGTTCACTTTAATGGGATTTTATTCTGCCCTGCCCTGCCCTGCCCTGCCCCGCCCTGCTTTGGCCTGCCCTGCCCTACCCCACCCTCCTGCACCATACTTGTACAGTCACAACAGAACATAACGTTAAGCTCCTGCTATAAGTGCTAGTATATGGCCTACTTATAGACGCGTGGAGCATTTTATGGCGACAAGGTGCATGCGTCTAACCAGAGGGTGAAAGCCATTATTGAATTTCGTATTACAGGGGACTTAAAGATTCCATTCACACCATCGAGGGAGAGTCAAACATCGAATGGAAATACACAGTATAAAGACTAAGAGAGTAAATAGCATCTAACTCGTTAAAACTCGGTTTTTGAGAATTACAGCAGCCTGAGAATGGAATAATTTTAGTATAAATAGCCGGAAAGCTTTTAGATTAGGTTCGGGACAGTCAACAACCAGATAACTGTCGGTTAAATAGCGAGAACATTTCATGTAATAGTGAGATAACTTTCCGATACCCGGAAAATAATCAAATAACAGTCGAATAGTGGTTGGAACACTGTCGGCTAGCAATCAATCAACTTGCAGATAGCAGCCGGATGTTTGTGGAATATTTCGTCCAAAATACAGTAGTCCTTAATGTTGGAAATCTTCCTCTGCTCGGATTATAGTATTATTTGCATTTTCATTCCTTAAAAAGATTTTGTTTATATTTAATCAGGAATTTTGCAAGTTAAAGTTACAGTTAGTTAACACAAGCTAAAACCAGGACATGCGTTGCGTGTTCTGGCAGAGGAAATATTTATTTTCTCCAACCCCAGAGCAACCTCGACCGCAACCAAGAACAACTTTGGCTAAACCCTGCCCCTGCCGGGTCAGCACCCGGCCCCAGTTGCCGGCATTAACTACTTTTTAAGCATTTTTGGTCTGGCAATCCTACCAGAACTCTGCCGCTGCCGCTGGCCCTGCTCTTGCCCCTCCTTAGAGAGGGAAACTATGCCATTAGCCGGCACATAAATTCCATCGACTAATGATGTGGCCAGTGATCAATGCTGGCAGCTGGCGCTGGAGATGAAGCAGGAGAGTTGCTCAACCAGCTTTTTGCACTAATTAACATGGCTATTTTTATGATAATCAATTACAAAGTTTCAGCGGAAACTTGGACGTTAGTTAAACTCAAAAAAAAAGGAAGAAACGAAGAAAGTTTTATTCGCCATCAAAGAAATTACTCAACAGATTAGGGGCCACGACAGATGGATTGAGACGAGATGAGAACATGTGTTCACTGTCTATGTCTATGTCTATGTCTATGTCAGTGCCATGGATCGATTGATGACGCGGAATTTAATTAAAATTTCGATGAAAATTCGCTGGATTGCTTTCTGCTGCCATGGCGAGCACTTAAAATTGTTGCTCCGACTCGTAAGCAGCCACTTTGCATATTGTTCAAGAGCTGAGAGAATTATTATTCGTTCACACAAGTATCTGATGATGATACGCGAGTACGTATGCAGATATGTACACATCCAGCCAGTATATATATATATATATATATATTCATAGCATAGGAGGTTGCGGCGCACTTACTTATTTGCCTTATATGATTTATAGTTTTCGCAGCAACTAATTAGAGAGTTTATTCCCATTTAAGCTCTCACTGCACCCGATTCGAGGGCACGTCGTTCAGAAAACTGACTCACTCACTCATCAGTAAGAGTACGAGCATTTTCCTCTTTTACGATGGGCACATGCACATGAATATCGAGATCTATAGATACGAATACGAATTCGAATACGAGCACGAGTATACCCACATATACAAGCGCAATATATATACATACACACATACATATGTAAATACATATATCACAAATCAGACAAAATTAAATTCGTTGCGGAGCTGCAGGGATATCTGTATACCCTACCCTTAACAAGAGGTGATTCGTCATAGCTTGCATCTTATTATCCATTATATGCCCAATGCATAATAAGTGTAACTAAAATATTTCAAAAATCATACAATTGTTATTCATATTCAACCTGACTGATGTCTTTGCGGGCCCAATCAATGCTCGGCAAATAGCCTGACTAAATTATAATACAAACAGCTGAATAAAACAACCAAAAATAGCAGCAAATTACTTCGACACGAGTCCTCGCACTCCATCCTCCATACTCCGCCGAGTGCCATCGTTTGGGCCGGGCTAAGCCCAT